AGACCATAAACATTCCCCCCGACGGAAGCCACCAGCTGCTCTCATGCGACTGGCCTGGAGGAGGCGCTCCACATCTTCAGGGCTCGGCGTCCCTTCTTCTGCGCAATCACCAAACCGACGTTTCGTCCGCGTGACAACGGACCGTTCTTTTTGATTTTTTTTTTCAAATGTCCGTCATGTTGATGATGATGATGTGAAGTTGTTTCAACCGCTTTTCTGGGTGCGTCCGTCTCTGGCCCGGGTGTAGGCGCACACAACCGATTTCAGACTGTCAGAGGTGCTCGGCCATCGATCACGTCACGGCAAGAGAGCGTTCAGTATCGGCGCTGTCTCTGGTAGCAACGGCAATTCAGGGGCCCTGCTCCTCCTGGCGTCGTGCGTGTGAGTACCAGCGTTTCGGAGGAGCGTGCCGCCTCCATCTTCAGCTACAGCCTCAGATTCTCAGAATTCCACAATCGCCATCTTCACCTCCGTGAGAACCTGAGGGCGTTCTAGAGCAGGAGGGGATGCGAGGAGGAAATGAGGAATGCTTATAAAATTTTGGCCGAGAGACGTCACGCGGGAGATAGTAGAATGGTATTAAAATGTGTGTTGGATAGGGAGGGTGTAGGGTATTGGACCGGCTGAGCATAGGCAGAAGGACGGACATTCCGACTCTTTGAAAGCGGGGAATTTCCTGAGCTGGCGATCGATCAGATGTCAACTTTTCAGTAACCAGAACAGAGGGCGGCAGCGCTGCTCGCTCTTCAGAAACTCCCCGAGAGTTCTCGTTCTCCCAGCAGCTCGCCATCTGTAAATAAGTCTGCCGTGGCCGAGTGGTTGGCACTCCTGCGCGTTGTTCGGGAGGCCCGGAGACAGGCTGTCCCGAATTGCGGTAAATGGTTTTCTTCAGTCCCTCCGAGCAAATGCCGGGGCAGTGTCTGTGGGCTTGGACACAGCCGCACCTGCGTTTCCGTAGACACGGAGACCGGCGGGCGGCCTTCCATTGTTGTCGCCTGTGCTCTCCGCGTTCATTTGTCTCTGCGAGTTAATCGAGCAGCTTTATCTGCGAGACCGCAATCGATACTCTCAGTGTGACCAACCGTACTGCTCCGGGAAATTTGGTATTCAGGAATTGGAAAGTGTTTAACCACGAGAGCCGTGGGCTAATAACCGCGTGTATGAGGGGTTAAGGAGCTGGTCTTCAAGTTTAATGGGGACTGAAAACGAGCCAGGAGACGCCTCGAGAACTCGTTCAACCCATTCCACGCTATCCACGAGATATCTCGATACGGAGCACTGGATTAATTTATTGTTGGGTGTAATCAGCGTGGCTTTTGGATAACACAAAATAAACGTAATCATGGAAACATTCTGACCGAAGGTTCCTTTTAAAACCGAGTAGCAGAAATCGTAATACCAACTTTCTACGACTCTTGCGATGTTAATGTTTTCGTTCAGGACTATAATCGGGTTTTCTGGGAATTCTTTAAATGGCTAAGCGACTATCAGCCTCTCAATAACGACTGGCTGCGTAGAGGTCGCTTTTACGCGGCATTCGAAAAAAAATCTCTGCGTAAAAGTGGCGTCTCTTTTGTCCGCGAGCACGTATTTGTTTCCGAGTGAATTTATACTTTCGTTCCCACTTTACGCGAAGCTCAGATGCGACTTTATCGATTCTTCTCGATAATGGCTCGTTGTCATACAAATCATCACATGGCATAAGATACGGAGCTCCACGCTTTAAATACCCAGAGGAACACAAGGGAAAATAATTTTCGAGCTAGTCCAGAACCGCAAAGAATGCTCCGGAAGACACCAGTTCGACGCCGGGGCACATTAGTAGCGACATGTCACGCGTTCGAAGCGAGCAACCGCTGGCCCATCTAGGCTCCTGCCCAGAGGATACCGGGGCTAAGACGGCCGCAGCGTGAAGCTGGACAGAGTTTCGGAATTAGTGGAGCGTCACCTCCGTGGCCCCACTCCTTGCTCAAACGAGTTGCGTGGCTCTGGAAACGGTGAGGGATATTTAACGTGTTGAGTTGGCAGCACTTACCCGCACGGGGTCCTGACACGTGAAGAACAGGAGCCCGACGGAACTGCGACGTGCTAGAAGAGATCGGCAACCGATGGAACTGCTGCGCCGACCAGCCATGGCACGCTACATAATGGCGTCGGCCCCTCGTCAGTGTGAGACCCGCCCACCTTCGCTTGGCCTCGAACCGGGGACCGCGCGCCGCGAGCTGTTGCCTCTGCCGAGATGAAAGGCACACTGAGACGCCAGCGCAAATGTAACAATCGATCAGCGGCGGC